TTCATCCATCCATGTGTTACAATTTAAGGCCTTTAAAAGCTGAAAAACATCCAGTCAAGTAGAAATATKCCATATTCCAATTTCTTATTTATTTATTTTTTTCAAACCCAATAGTTTGAATTAAAAAAGAATGATAACCCAACATCAGGCAGGAGTATAACAGGATTACAATATCATAATAAAAAACTCCTCTAACAAAACATGAGGAAGATCATGGTCTGTTAAGGCTCCCACATACTCGGGCGTACTGTGTGCGGTCTGTGAGCCGCGTGGACTCCRCACATATTGTCCGTGGACMTTTGAGACTTCATACTCGAACRTACTGACCGCCAGACAAATTMTTTARTTTCTCGCAATATCAGTCATGAYGTAAAAKATGAGGAGGAAGAGATAGTATTTTAGCTTTAAAACAACAAAATAAAAGAACTACTTACCCAGGATCTGAGCTATGTCGTCCCACAAATTTGTTGCTTGCTGAAAGTCCTTATATTTCTTCATTGACGTATTGTAAAGTTTTCTAATCTCCTGCATGAGACACTGTTCAAATGTTGACTSCATTTCATCCACAAATGAGACAGATTCTCAACTTTATCAGCTTGGTGTTGCATCGTTCCATGTGAATTCGCCGAACATTGTATTGTGCGACACCGCAGACGCGGATGTAAAAAAAAAAAGAATCTCTGTGTAGACCAGGCCGGCGGACGGTCGTTTCGAGTCCGCATTGAGTCCGCCTCGAATCTGTGTGGATCTCTGCGGAGCGAAGCACGTTTTTGTTACATGGTGGGAACCAATTTCCAGAAAAAGGCAGCTTCGTGTGGACCGATCATGCATTGTGGGGACCAAAGCCCCGTCTTCATCAAATAAATCTAAAGACATTTTTCTTCTTTACAGAAAATGCATATTTTTTTAAATATTTTGGCCAAGGTAAAAGGAATTCCAGACTATGCCACAAAACATAGTGAAGTACCAAATCATGTGAAACTAGGCTTTCATTTAGAGAAACATCTCTGTCTCGTCATGCTTCTCTTACCTCACAACTCAGACTGTTGCTCTGTTGGCCTTCCTTTGGCTTCTCATCGCAATGTTGGTTTTTAATTGAACAGACTGTTAGAAGTCTCTCMCACACATAAACACACTTCCACACCAAGCACCTCAGCCTCGCTACCAGAAGGATGTGAGGCCGTTTTGCACTTGCTGCTTAATTGTGCTCATGATGAGAATGCTGAAAAGGATTTGAGCACACTCGCTTGTATTGTGTGTGTGTGTGTGTGTGTGTGTGTGTGTGTGTGTGTGTGTGTGTGTGTGTGTG